GTCTGGAATAGATAACTTCTAAACTGCCTAGTAACTCCCAAACTGTCTGGAAAAACAATCTTTTCTTACAACTAAGGAAAAAAAAGCTTACATTCTAAGGAATAGATAACTTCTAAACTGCCTAGTAACTCCCAAACTGTCTGTAAAAACAACCGTTTCTTATATCTAAGGAAAAAAAAGCCTACATTTTAACATTGAAATTGTATAGGAACTATACAAAATTTAATTTACTTTTTTCTTTCTTATCTCCATGTATAGATCTTCTATAAATCAAACCAGACTCCATTAGTCTTGTCTGGTCCATAAAATACTCCCTCCCTTAATAGCAGGTTTGTCCTCAAGCACGGGAGAGATTAACTTGAGCCATTAGACTCTAGAGCAATCCTGTCATATCCTCTCCCAAACCTACCCTACTCTAGTTCTACTTGTCACAAGCACATTAATCTTGATATAAGTTCAGGAAGGATATTGATTTTTGTGGGATAAGACATGAGGCTTAGAAGTAACATTCAAACATGATGAATGATTATTTTGGAAGTCACCCATAACTTTTGGCTCTATACCAATATGTTATGACCTTAAATTATATTTAGGTATGGGTTTTTTGTAGAAGAGGGTGAGGGCTGATTAAGAGAGAACCTCTTGATGTCCTAATGATAAGGGCTCGTCAAGAGAGATTAAGCACCCTTTAGAAGAGAATTCTTAATAAGTTTAGAAAAGAAACACATTTTTAAGAAGATTTCTGCTTTCTTTTTTATTCACAGGTGATGCAAATTTATACAGACTTAGAGACAAGAAAAGATCATAGAATATTTCCTGAGCAATAGTAACTCTCAAACTTCCTGGTAATTGCAGAACTGTCTGTCACATCTAAGAAGCTGTTTAAGTGCTGAAAGAAAAGTGTTTAAAGTAGTAGGGTGCTTTTAAGTTTACTTAAGGCAGATAAATTCTGATCTAAAAGTAAGCATTTATGCATTGGGAGTGCTGATTGTCAAAAACTAAGCAATAAATAATTAATAGAGATATATATTTACTTATCTTGTTTTTATGTATATATTGGTAACTTTAAGAAGGTATCAAGAGAGTAATTAAATAAATTAGCTAGAAAAAAATAAGAACTTAAAAGTTAGGAGTAGGGTGTTTCTTAACCTTTTCAAAGTCACTTCTAAAAACCTAATAAACACTAATTTTTATTCTTCAAAACACGAATATTCCAGTATGGATGCTTATGATATTCCAGTATGGATGCCTATGTTTATAGATTCTGGTCTAACAGTTAGAAGGAAAACGAATCAGAGAATTAAGACAATGCCATACGGTGCAAGCATTCTCCTTTGTTTCCACTTTCACTGCTTAACTTTCTTTATTTATGAAAGCAACTAATATGATGTAAGTTGAAAAAAGCAACATGGCTTAACTTAATTTAGTGGAAACAGAGTTCATTTCACTTAAATGGCCCATTTGCTCGCCACAGTTACTCTGTAACGTGGCCATTCAGTTCCTTATTCTTGTACCACTAAAATAGTTCAACCAGAACCTTTCTATTTGCTTGTCTTATGAGTATTAGCTAATTTATCATCAATCTGCTTAGAGTGGGTTTAGGACTTCATAAAGAATATTGGGTTAAAAGTTATTTATGAGATATCTGTCGCCTTGTTTTTCAGGTGGGTCCCTATAAAAGGTAATGATTGGTATTGGATTCGTCATCACATAAAAGTTGGTGTGCATGTCATTGTTGAAATTTTGGTGAGTACAGTGATGTATTCCTTTGTTTTGGGTAATGAGCTCTAAGCAGAAAGCATTAGACCAGTTTTTAGCTGTTTGATTAATCCAACACTTTTGCAGGCAAAACGAGACCCTTACCGTTTTCGATTTCCTATAGAGATGCGTTTTGTCCATCCTAATATCGATCACCTGATGTACGTATTTTCATGCACCTGTCTGATCCTTTCCCCTTAAAATCAGCAGTTGTATTAAATTGATTTCAATATGTATTGGTAGATTTTAAGATAACTTGTTTACCTACAAAATAATTGTGACTTCAGAGGAAAGAGTAACTATGACTTGGTACTGATAACCATTAAGTTATATTAGAAATTAGTTTCAAGATTTATGTTGAACAAGTCTAAAGGTAATGATTTTAATGATTTAACTCTTTGATTTAAACATTTTACCTATGCTTCCAGCTTTAATAGATTTGACTTCCCGCCAATATTTCACCATGATGAGGATACTAATCCAGATGAATTACGGGTATGTCCCATTTCTTCTCAAAGCACCATGCTCTACTTGTACCTTTACTCACACACACAGTTGAGCATTTGTATCCTTCACTGATGCTTCCATATGTCCTGAATTGATCTTATATTGAGATGGTTTGTATTTTTTTAATAAAATTTTAAGGTTTGGTTGTTTCAGGAGCAGTGCTTTAATATATTAACTAATGCTACTTTTTTTATAAAAAAAATCAATGTATCTGACTCCATTGTTGAAAATGAGAGGTCATAATAACTAAACATGAAAAGAACATTAATTATCTAAAATAATTAATGCATATAAACTTCCTAGCAAAAATGTAAGTTTTAGGAAAAATATTGGAAAACATGAAAAGAACAATAATGATCTAAAATAATTATTTATTTATGCTTTAAACTATTTATTATTGCACCACCACTGATTTTATGCTTGAGTTCTGCCCCTTGTTTGTTTAATCAATAAATGGCCTATTATACTCTTCTTTTCTTTGCTCAAACAAATCACTTGGTCCACTACATATGTGGACAAAGATTACTATTTTTTGCTTCTTTCCACCTAGTAAATGTTTTTGTATCGTTAATTTAATTATTTGGCATGCTTAATGCCTTTCAATTAGTAATGTTGTTCCATTTGCAGCGTGATTGTGGAAGACCTCCTATTCCCAGAAAAGATCCAGGAAGTAAACCAGAAGAGGAACCACTATTGTCGAATCATCCTTATGTTGACAAGGTATTCTTGACATAAGTCTTGTCAACTGCTTATGTAAAGACATTCTTCTGGTATCTTTAAAATGACTGTTTATTCATGTGCAGACTGGGCTTCCAGTTGTCATATTTTGAAGAAATTCTGTTATGCAGTTATGGCAGATTCACGTTGCTGAACAGATGATTTTGGATGATTTCGAAGCTCATCCTGAGAAATACAAAGGGAAAAAACTCTCAGAATTAACTGATGAGGATGGTTACGATGAAGAAAAGAGTGTTGTATATACTGAAGCCTATTATAAAAAAACACGAATACCGAAAGTAATTCTGGTGAGGTTTTTCTTTTTCCTAAGATTTTCTCCTTAGATATGCCATTGGATGATATTTTGTCCTATCCACCTAATCTTGCTTGTATCTTTGGGCAGAAAACAAGTGTTAAAGAGCTTGATCTGGATGCTGCCTTAGCTGAGTGTGAGGTTATTTCCCTTTCTTATTTCCCATCCATACTCTAGATACTTGCAAATCATCCTCCAGGTTTCTCATAAATGTTTGTTTATTTAACTCTATATTATAGAAGCTTGTTTTGTTAACTCTCTCTGGCTTGTTGGTAGTTTTCTCGGAGATGGTGAGTTTTTCTAATTTGAAATTCTCTATTGAGTGAGCTCCCTAAAATTCTTGTTGGTTTGACCAATTCTTTGGATTAGTCAAGTAATGTACATCTCTCACCCTGTCATTCTGAATGCAAATTGGGCACAAGAGAGGTCTGGTGATCAAACTATGATGACGAACTGGAATTTTTTTCCCATTTTTTGTGTTATGTTCTTGTTCAAGTAGATTGATGTTAACCATTGTTTATATTCACGTGGAAGTCCTTTACTGTAATAAATTGTGGATTTTATTCATTCTTCATCTTTCCTTTTGTTTTTTAAAAAAACTTTTCCTGCCTATTCCCATACATGTTTGCTGAATATGATTATTTATTTCATGTCATCTGAAATAATTTTATGCAAGACAATCCAGTAGGCCCTTTGTAAATAACTATTAATATTTTTATATAACCATGCATGTTTAAGTACGATTTTAATCAAACTGCAGTTTATAAGCTTAAGATCTTAGTGAACAAACCGGGGCCGGCCGGAGAAGAAGGGGAGAAACATAAAATCTTAGTTAAATAATTAAAGTTGTTTTTCTTAACTTTGTTGTTTGTTTGGTTCAGCACCATAACATGCTAAGAAAGGAAGCAAAAGAAAGAGGAGAAGAATATAAAATCAACAAGCTTCGACGAAACATTGAAATGGACGAGTATGATTTCCTGCATTGGCAGCGATCCTTTGAGGAAAGAGAAGCTTTAATCAGAGATATTAGCTGGTATTCCTATAGCTACAGATTTTTTTGTTCAAATATTGGTTCTGTTTTTCTTTCATTTCAATTTAATGGGAAATCTTTCATTATTTTAACTCCTCTCTTGTCCTCCATATGTTATTTGAAAACTTTTGTTTCCCTAATATGTGATTGGATTTTCTGTCCTTGCGTGATTTGAGTGGTTCAGACATTTAAATTCTTTTGTTCTTCATGATTAGACCAATACTCTTGCAATGATTTAAAGAAAGATTGATTCCGGTGAGTTGGTTTCACTTGGTTCCCACTAAAGCTCTATGGTTGTTTTGCAGCCGGCAAGCTCTTGGCCTGCCTTTGGAAGAGCCGGGGAGGTATAAAGATGCAAACTACTTTGGGAAAGATCAATATGATCCTTCAAATCCCTTGTATCGGTATGACTATTGGGGAGAACCAAAGAATTCGGAAAAGAGTAAGCAAGAGAGGATGACAGATGCACATAACAAATCTATAGTTGGCAAGGGCAACGTTTGGTATGAAATGTCTTATGAGGATGCAATTGAACAAAGGATGCAAAGAGAAGCTTTGGGAAAAGCAGTGATGATCAAAGAAGATGAAAAGTCAGAGTCAGATGCAAGTGATGAGGATGAGGACGATTTTGATTATAGCATTCTAGGGGTAGATTTTTCAGATCAGCCTGTTGTTAATGGAACTGAATCATCCAGAATATCAGATGAGGGTATGTTCGAGAACTAATGCACGAATGCAGTGCCTGTAGTTTGTACTGTATATTTGATAAATGAAATGAAAAATGAGAAGAAATGCATAAAGGCTTTTACAAAATTAGATTAGTAGTAATCAACCCTTCTCAACTCATTCCAAGTATCGCAACTGCTGAACTGGCGGAGTTGATGCATAAACAATTCGTTGTTCTTGTGACTTCTCCAACAGTGTGATGCTTAAATAACAGTGCTTTAGCGTCTTGAAGGCTCAATGGTGATGGGGAACTGGAGGGGAATGTCGTTTTTCACTTAAATTTGCTGTTGAAATTGGCTCCGTTCCTTAAAAGTTGTTGACAAAAGTCTCAATCTTCTGTCAACTACTTGGAGCTGAAGCACTCAGAGGAAGTGTGGATGAAGCTTGTAGCAAGGAGGGTTTAGAGGTTTAGGAAAGGTGAAAAGAGGGTTAATTTGCATTATCTTCATCGTGGGTGATTTTGGCGCAAAGTGTGAGAATTTGGATCATATAATAATTTCAATTGGTAAATTTGCATAACCATAAATGATGATAATAACGTCACATTGCATCCAACTACAAAGTCAGTCAAGTCTGAAGTCTTAAGTAATTAAAAACATTACAAAATGGAATTTTAATGTTGATGGGCAAAATAAATAAATACAGAAGCTGGATTTTAGTTAAGAAAGAAAACTAAGAGTAGAACTTGTAATCTTTGGCTTGAAGTATGATATTCCTCAATGCGCCAATAGGAGCCAGAACCATTAACAACACGCCAATTACGATACATATTTGCAACATCAACAACAACAGTAAATTATAACTCTTATTTATGTGTATGTGTATGTATATGTGTGTGTATGTATATATATATATAACCATTATTTATAATTATGGCTTAGTATTTGAACAGTTGCCAGAGTAATTATTTTGTGTTTTTCTGAAGTTATAATTATAAATGCATTCTTAATAGAAAATTTTGAAAAAAAAAAAAAAAAAAGAAGAAACAGTATTAACGTACCCAGTTTGTAAACCAAGATAAACTAAACCTTCGAGGTTTGCGGACAGCAAGCCAGATGATGCACGGGAGCTACAAAATCCACAAACGTATATAAATTTTTTTAAAAATATTAATTATAAGCAGAACCTAATCTCCTCATGCATTTACTTTATATACGTAATATATATACGTGTGTGTGTGTGTGTGTTTACATATTTATATCAAGTACTTACAAAGTATGTGGTAGGAGCAAAAGCAAATCCTCCAAAGAAACTGAGTAGTCCGCCGAAGAAAGGGAATGTAATTCCAATAAACATAGTCAATGCTGCACATCCCAAAAACACAATTAGATGAAGTCGTCTGTTACTTATTGCTCCCACATTCTCCTTTGCATATATATGTATGTATATATATATATAAAGTAGGGCAGAAAAGATTAAACCAAAAATATAGAAGAAACGAAAAATGCTCACCAACATAAGCAGTGCGTATGGTGAAACGCAGCAGCTTAGATGGCTTGAACTTCATCTTCAGCACCATGAATGATTCCGCCATGTCAAAAACTGGAATCGCAAACACCTAAAAACCCACATATATACACATACTTATTATTTGTATCAACATAATATGCCAAATTAAATCAGCTAAAAATTAAATAATAAACCTGATAACTCCCGATAACGTGAATCACAACAAACATATTAGCAATTGCAACGAGCCAACCGGGTTTCTCCAGCGACATAAGAATGTTGTCTTCCACACTATTCCCAAAAACTCCATAACCAACCATGGCAACCGGGAAATAACACAGAGCCACCACAATATACGCCACAATCACGCCTTTCCACATGGGTTTCTTCGATGGTTTCTCGGGTGTCGAAGGAATTGTCGCCTGGATTTCCAACACCACATTGTGCCCGGCAAACGCAAAAGCCACATCGCCCAAAGCACTCAGGAAATTAAACACGTTGCCGGCGGTGGTCGATGCTCTCGGTCCATAGCTCACATCCGGATTCACTCCCCTGTGGGCAGAAGCTGTCCAAGCTATGGTGGAGTAACAGAAAGACATGACGGCGGCGGCGAGAGAGATGCCGGTGATGGAATTGAAGCTGGGAAGATGAGAGAGTACGAAGTGAACAGAAGCAAAGATCATAATGAAGTATGTGGTTTTGATGTCTTTGCAGGATGGACAAACTGTGTCGTGGAATTTCTTGAGAGATTTTCCACCGGTGACCATGTAAACAATGTTGACTCCGATTTCAACCATGAGCTGTTGAGGCACCACAATCCAGAGTCCAAGTTTTTC